TTTTTTAAATATCTTGTAAATTTCTATAGATTTGCAAAAAACTTTTTGCCACGCCCACACTTTAAGAAATTTTTCAGTTCATTATTTTTTCCCAATTTCTACCGATATTCCAGAAAATGTTTAAATTTCTAGTTTGCACTTCTACTAACTAAGTGACGGGTATCTGATAGTCGGGGAACTCGACTATAGCATTCTATGTTGTTTTATTACACGTACACATAAATTCATTTTATTTTTGTTGTTAGACTTAGCATGGTATATTTAATTGTTCTTAGCACAAAGTAAAAATAATTAATAATTGTACACTGAAAGACAACATTTGATAGCGCGAGTTCAACAGCTAAATTCCCCTCGAAAGGCGGAAGATTTGTACATATGGCATTGGAATATAGGCTTTGCCCCAGTTTTCTATATTTTGGTTGCGAAACCCTACTCTAGGAATGTGCCTTGATTTACTATTATGATATACTCGTGTCTGTCGTGTATTATATGAATCTACTCCTTATAATTGAGTATCACGGATGGGTTGCCTTTTTCGTATTATTCCTGTTCGGACTTCTTGGCCAGGAGCGGAGTAATGGGCTGGTCTTTTCTGTTGGCACGCTCCTCCTCCTTGGCCTCCTTGTCGCCATAGATGTCCAGGGTGCGTCCATAGTACCAAACGAGGTAATCGAAGAGCAGTCCCATTAAGGTGAGCACTAAAAGTTAGCCAGAAGGTAGGGAGATGCCTTCATAAATTGTGAATCAAACTTACGGCAGGATAAAAAGTTGAGGGAGTAACGGAAGCGGGTTTGGTCGTACAACTGGCAGTTGCCATTGCCATTGCAGGTCTGTGTCCACACCAGGCACGTGGAGTCGATGAGGCGGCCGAAAATGATGGGTCCCGGTATGAGGGCCAGGAGGCTGATCATCATCAGGGCCAGTCCCTGGGCGAAGGACTTGTCCTCGTGGGCCACGGCTCGATAGTTGACCAAAACGTTGCCCACGCGCCCGGACGAACCGAACCAGCTAACGATCATGGAAGTTATGGAAAAGGCCCAAAAGCTCCAGCCGCAGTTCTTCGTACAAATGCCCGGTCGAAGCACCGAATCGGGTGTGGATCTCCTCGTCCTGGTGATCAGCAGCTGATCATCGAAGTCACCGTTGTCGTCGAGCAGTGGCACTCCGCTCAGATAATCATCAAAGTACGTGGTGGTATCCAGTTCGGGTTCTGGAGTGGGTTGCAAAAGATTCAGCAGACGCTGCGCCGCACTCCTTGGTGGGGCATCATTGACCACACAACTGCAGTCCTCGTACAACTTGGATGTGGCATTGTAATCCCGGCATCCCGCATGGCAGGCCGAGAAGAAGGTGGTGTCCGTTGGCTCATGGCAGACGGGTGTGTAGCTGATGCCTTCGCAGGAGCAGTTCATGTTGCAGTTGTTCGTCAGGTTGAGTCTTTAATGTGGAAACGATTTCAATCATATTGAAAAATATATTAGTTCCACTGATACTTACTGTCCCACGTGCGTCATGGAGAAAGTATTCGGACAGTAGAGGAATGCGTATGAGATCTGACCCAAGATGGAGATCCCACCAACGATAATGTTCCACAGAAGCACCCTGCTAACGCTGGGTTTCTTTTTGGAGATCACCAATCCGGAGCCAATCAGACCCACGACCATGCCAAAGATGGATATGGGACCAACGATCTTAAAATAATAATGATAACAAATAATTGGGCAAACGAATTCGAGGAATAACTTACAATTGTGGCACTCTGCGCATCCTTGTGGAACTGCACCTCCATGTACTTGGTGAGGAAGGTCATGAAGCCCGAGGCACCCAGGATATAAAAGACCGCCGAGAGGATGTTGAAGATCAGCAGCTTGTTGCGCAGCAGTCTCATAAGAGCACGTGGGAAGTCCTTCAGCTTGGGCAGGTCTGCATTGGCCCCCGCAGCTGCTCCAATGGTGTCCAGAGCGGCGTTTGAGGAGAAGCGGCTGCTCAGGGAGAGGTTCTCCTCCCGCTTGAGCTCCTCCTTCGTCTGCCGCAGTGCCAACGGCAAGTGGGAGTTGGTCCTGGGTGCTTTGATCTTGGGCAATTGCTTGGGAAACAGTCCGATAAGACCCGAGAAGAGGCACATGAGGGTGCCCAGGATCACCCAGCCGAGCCACCAGGCGCCCAGCCAACGAGGGTCCTTGCTGTCGATCAAAGGAGTCTTGGTGGGATCGATGAAGGTGTTTAGCGATATGAAGCCTAAAGGGGGAAAGAGTTTAGGGGCATACTTGACTACATTTATATTGTGTTTTCTTAAGGCTTACCGAAAAAGAAGCCCACGATTGGTCCGATCATCCTGAGTGCCATGGCCACCGCCAGCATGAGCGGAGTGTTTGTCTTGGTGTTGTCGTCCAGGTAGGTCTGCCCCAGGGAGTAGTACAGGGTGTTGCCCACGCCCAGCACAAACTGCGAGAGGAAGATGAGCACCAGTGGCACGTAGGAGAAGAGATCGTCGCAGTCATCCTCGGCTTTGCCTACTCCACACAGTCGCTCGGTTTTCACAGAGCTAATATTCTGCAGACATATGTAGATACCTTACTATAGACAGTGGTGGACGGTGGAGAAGTTAACCCACCTGAAAGGTGTAATCCGAGCCAGAAGTGCCATTCAGCAGGCTCTCCTGGTACTCCTTGGTGAACTGCAGCACCTCGTGACCCGCTCCGTAGATGAAATGAGGCAGGACGAGGATGTAGCAGGACAGGCCGCAGAAGACAATGCCCCAGGCAATCCAGCGCGGACGATTCCGCTGACCACCGATGTAGGAAAGGATGAGTGAGAGCATGATCTGCGAGATCTCATTGCCGCTTAGAACTATGCCTACAAATACCACGAGCTTAAGAGATTGAAAATAAAAGATATAGATCTTAAACAATACCTGTCGTTTGGCTGGGAATCTTGAAGCGCTTCTCCAGCGTGGTGAGGGTGACAATGAAGTACATGTAGGACATCGCCTGGATGGTGCCCAGCAGCCCGTAGACGCCCATGAACATCTTGGTGGTGGCGTACTTCTGCAGCCAGGCCGGATGCCAGTTGGCCATGCCGCACAAGTAGTGCCCCGGCGGGGGATTCGAGCCCCGGCGCTTCACTTCCGCCATCTTCGATTCCGTGCCGCCACCAACTGCTGGATGCTACTGTCTTGTCTGCGGGAATCACCAAACCATCGATTGCGCTCGATAAGATTGCGGACTCGGCTTCCTGATAGGCAGGGCAGTGATAGCGAGCAAACTGCAAGGGACAATGGGCTCTTGTAAATCAGAAAGCATTAGGGGTTCCTGGAAAGGGCTCCTAGTCGGAGAGTCAATTTCATCATTGAAAATCGCTCCGGTAACCATGACTCTCCGGTTCCAGAAATCGTCAAACATCGTTTAGGACTTATAAAAGTAGTTGATAGGGAAATTCGTGGTACTGATTAGGTGTCGATAGTGGCGTCTACTCAAGATCACATTGGGACTAGGCCGAGGCGATTAGATAAACCGGAGTTCCTTTGCCAAACATACCAAATACACGATATCTATATGGTCGGGGTAGCTATATTTACCGCATAACTCTACATGTTTGAAATCACAAATCACAAGAATGCGACATTTTTTAATAAAAAGGACTCTACTCCAGGGAGCTAATAATCGCGAATTGTAGCCAGTTGGTGATCAATCATATTTACGAAATATTTTCGTTTTTTCACGTACTACAATTAACTGAAATCAGTTTAATGAACTCAGACCGTTGGGCTACAACCAACTGATGTGATAATTATATGTTCCGTATTGAAATCCGTTGCTTATCACCGCTCTTTTATTGTGACTCAGTCTATTTCAGGGCTATTTTATTTGTTTACTGCTTTCCCTTTGCTTTGAGTGTGCCAGCAACAAATTTGTCTGCTGCAGAAGGCTTATCAAAATTTGGATTTCAAATACTCATGATTGATTGGTCGGAAAAACGGTTTCGCGCTGCCGAGTTGTAATATCTCATTTGTCATAAATAGCATAAAAGCCAGGTGTAAGGTGAACCACTTGAAAAACTTTAGCTTTAAGTGGCAGAAGAAGTTTAGTCATACTTCGGAAATGAGTTGCACTTGAAGGTATACTTGTAAAGATCTGGATTTTTTGACAAAACGCCTTGCAACACGATTGGACCCTGAAATTGCCACGAGTGCATCCACAGAGGTTCCTTCCGCATGGTGAGCTACCCCAATGCCGAACTACTAGTGCCGCCCCGAAATGCAAACAAACCGCTCACCAGGCAGGTGTACATACGTTTCCAGACGCGAGGTAAGAGCCGCCTATATAGTGGGCATAGTATCAGGTGCCGAATAGTGGTCACACTCGTGCAGCGCACAATCTAATCGGCGGCACTTAGGCGATTAATTAAATTGCCGCTCGAGTTCCTTTCTGCAGGAACTGGTCCCGATGCGGCGGCCAGTGGAGTGGGCGACGATAGAAGATAGTGATGGCCGATCCGTTCCGAATCGAGGCGCGAGTTAAACTGAGAAATGGAACTTAGAATTCGCAGGCAGGCCGCCCTGGCCGCTCGGTGCCAATCGAAGCCTGATAAAGCTTTATCAGGCCATAAAAGCGGCACCGGAGCGGGACAATCGCTGCTCCCGACGCTGGCCCACGTGCAAAAGAGATTTTTGGACATACGAGTATGTCGGAATATCCAAGAATATACTCGTATACTCGTATACCTACGGCATGCCGCAGCGCTTTGTTTTCTTCGTGCAGCGTGGCTCAGTGGAGAGTTCAGGCGGCATCGCAATGACAATACAAAACAGACAATAGAGGAACGCGACAATGACATTATTATTACGATCTCTAACCCCCTGGCCCGTCCCCATCCCACGGCGCAGCCCCATGCCCGGCGATTAGAATTGTAAGCAAGTGAATTAGCTGAATGTGCGGACTGCTGTGCCGCATGTGCATCAAAGAGCGTGGGCGAGGGTCGCCACCACGGTTGCGCCTTGTCTAGGTGTCCGTCTTGATGTGCAGGTCAGGATCGTTGGCGTTCTGCAGCATGTGGTTCTGGCCGATCGAAAGCAACATGGCCATGCCCATCCAGAGTATCGCCATGATGACCACCATCACGAAGATGGTCTGCGTCAGGGTCGGCGTCATAAGTATGGAGCAGTCCCAGCAGGGCTTCACCTCGTGCTCCACGTCCATGCCGGTCTGCTTGTCTGAAAGAACATCAAATTACTCTAAAGTAGTTAGCTAATAACAAATGAGAAGGGAAACAAAACCATTCTAAATGGTCGCCGCAACGTATGCAATGTTTCAAGTTCTGGTAACTTTCCCGGATTTCTTAGTTCAAGCCCCCCACTCACCCTGCCACAGGATATCCAGATGAAAGTCGAAGAAGCTGAGGCGCCCCGCCGCCGTGGAGTATACAGTGATGTCCCTGCAGCAGAGACTGAACTCGAAGCCGAAGAAGATGAGATCGCGTGGGTAGTGGGTCTGGTTTATGAAGATTATGCGCGTGAGGTACCAATTGCCCTGCGATGGCATCAGCTCCACAATCAGCGGACTGAGCTCTGTATTCAGCACCAACACGATGCCGCCGAAAATGTTTTGGCCATTGAGCAGGCCCACCTCCACTTCTTCGCTTCCCGGGGTGAGCAGCACATTCGTTCGGTTGAAGGGGGAGAACACGGAGGGCATCTTCTTGGTGGCCAACAGGATGTTGCGGAAGGTGAGGATGACCATTTCGTGACGCAGCACGGTCATGTTATCAACCTTGCTGTAGCTGCCCAGCTGCGGCGTTAAATTGAATCCGTCATCATAGTGGCTCGACGTTCCACCGACCTTCTTCGATTGCTCCGATTTAATGGCTTGGGTCTTGTGGGTTCTGCGACGCTGGAGCGCTTTGTCCTCCTCCGTGTAAGCGGTGTACACATGCACCACCGGGCAGTCGGTGAACTGATAGGTGGCCACCGCCATTGCCGCGTCTGGAGTAATCAATTTAATTGTGTAAATAAAGCGGGCAAGTAGTTAAATTTGTATAGCCGCCAAGTCTTCATAACGCGAAGAAATCAGTAAATATGTGCTATTATATTATATTATACATTCTTCACAATTAATTATTAAAATATTTGAGCGTGACCTACCGTGAGCTACCACATTGCGATCGTTAAAGCGGAACGCGTGTATCTGCCCTTTTTGGCAAGAAAGCTCCATTTCCGCCTCCAAGCTGTCCATTTCTGAGATCTTGGGGGTGTGCCAAATAATCTCGTCCGTCTGTTCAGCCACCTGTTCCACGGCCTTTAGAGGCTCCTCCACCTGGCTGTAGTAGTTCATGGGCTGGATCTTGCTGAGGTAGGGAAAGCACACGTCGCAGTTTATATCCTTGGCAGCCAGCTAAATTGAAAAGATATTGTATCTACAAGAACACTCTCAAGTAAGTGGGCTACGAACTACCTCCGTGGCCAAGTAGATAATTATCATATTATTCGTCTGCAGATTGCGTATTATCTTTTCAAACTGTGTCGTTTTTACAGGCCGAAAAATACTGGTGGGCTTGGGGCTGCAAAGAGGAGTCCTTTTGGTAAACTACATATATTTCTGATTGCTTAAACTTACGTATCGACTCCCCAGACCAAAACCGGCGGTGAACTAGTCACTTGGGCGGAGGCGAAGGAGAAAGGAATTATTAATAGGAGACTTGCAAAGAAATACATCTTGACTTCTAGAAGCTCTGACTACTTATATTTGAAGCATAGGCCTGGCTTGCTTATGTGGTATTATACTTTTATATAGCCTAACACCTATTTAAAGGTTTAATAAATACTTCATTTTGGTAACAATTATTCTTCATCTGTTCCACTAGTTCAATTTCAATTACGATCTTTTGTTAGTTGAGCAATGTTGAGACACTTGTTGCTTCCACATGTTGCCCACGATCCATAACTATGCGTAAGCGACGGCAATAAAGTTGCAATTAAGAACAAAACAACAAAGTCCAAAAATATGATAAGATAGGAGTTGGCTTATCAAACCAAAGTCGGAAAAAGAGAGGGCATTGGTTCTGGCCAGGTGCGGCTCCTCAGTTTGCTCCCGTTCCTCTTTTCGAATAGACGTTAGTGCGGTCCTAACGCGGCTAAGATGCCAACTGACTAATGTAATCCATAGCCAATAGAACAAGCGAGTGAACTGAAGTGTAGTGAGCATAAACGAATCCGAAATCGAATACAAATATGGCGCAGAATACGCGCAGCTCCGATTTATCGCAGATAGCGGTCAATGCCAACAACATACCCGACGGTGGGTGACCCAAATGCCCGATTTCCGATTACGTATAATTGATACAGAACTTCTACCCCCACCAGACAGCGTCGACTGTGGCATCAAGGGTCTGGGCTGGTGCCGCGGTCCCGGATGCCAGAAGTACGCCAGGCTGCGCACCTTCATCCTGGTCCTGGCCCTCTCGGGAACCCTGCAGGGCGCCTGCGAGTCCTACTTCCGCGTGTCGGCCAAACAGGCTTCCTTTCAGTTCGGTTGGAATCCGCTGCTAGTGGGTGAGTAAGCCGCTTTATCGCAGGAATGGCAAAATGCTAACCCGACCAGGGAAATATAAACGAGGTGTTGGCCCGGTCCTACGTGGAGATTTCAGCTATCTTATCAGTTTTGCGGTTTTCTTCACGATTGTCTGTGCCTGGGAGCTGCCTGACTCTCTATTTCCCGCTAGCTTTCTTCATTTTATTTAATTACGAGGTATGTGGTGAACTACTGAATACTAAAAACAAAACAATGTTCAATTTAACAATTTTACATGCCAAAAAGTATATTTAATTATAGCCGCACTACTCAGGTGCTACTCGGGTATTATTCATTCGTCATCAATTTTATAGATAAGCAACGCGTTATGGTAGTAAAAATGGCCGCGTAATACATTTGTTATATCTTTTTGCAAGCTGACACAGAAAAGAATTTAAGCGGAAGTGGCGTTTACCCCAATGAAAGTTCTTACATATACCAATAACTTATTTCACTGCCGCGTTACTCATGCAGCATATCTTAGTTGGTGAACGGGTTATAGAGACTTTGCCACAGAAAATCCCCCCGAGCGTTTCACTACCTAGTATTTCAATTCCTTAAACATACAGATTGGCTGCTGGTGGCTGGTGGACTATTCCAGGCGGTCTTCGCGCTGGCCTTCGCCTACTGGGCGGACGTCTATCATCCCATCAAGTGGCTGGTGGGAACTCTGATGTTGCAGGCTGTCACCTGTGTGGTGGCTGTGATTCCCGCCATTATGAACTTGTAAGTAACACTTGTACGAGTGAATGTACTTAACTAGCAAGAGATAACCCTTTCCCACAACTTCCTTGCAGTGCCGATGGCCACAAGGCAAAGGATGCGCTGCTGGATGCCAACATGTGCGCCACATCGCTGGCCCAGTTCCAGAGACTCACTCTGACCGAGGCGCAGAGCAGCAGCCTCACCCTCGCGATGCTCTTCGTCCTTCAGCTGGCGCTGGGAATGGGAGGATTGGCCTACTACACGCTGGGGGTCAGCTACATCGATGACAACTCCCTGTCACACGATAGTCCGGCGGTGATAGGCGCTGCCCTGGCTGCGCGCGTATTTGGCCAGCAGGCGGGATCCTTCCTGGTGCTGGGAGTGGGGCTCACCCATGTGGGCTGGTGGCTCGGCTGGGTGATACTGGCACCCTTCATCTTCGTGGGCGCTGTGCTCCTGGGACTGTTTCCCAAACGGCTGCCCAAGACGGTCATTCACCAAGCGGCTCAGCGGATCATCGAGCAGTCCACCATGCGTAACTTTGGCAGCCAGTTCTCCACTTACATGGATGACTCAGATTTCTGGCCATCGCTGAAGAGGCTCTTCAACAACCGCCTGCTGATGTTCAATCTGCTGAGCCTCATGTGCGTGCAGAGTGCAGTCGTGAACTATGGCCTCCAGGAGGAGAGCTATCTGCAGAGCAGGTTCTTCCTGCCCTACAACGAACAGGATGGCTTAGCGGCGGAGTGGAGATCGGCCTTCGTTTCCTACTTCCTCAAGCCGCCAGTGATGGCGGTGGGAATGCTGATCAGTGGCCTGGTCATCTCGAAGGCTCGCCTATCGGCTCGCAAAATCACGGCCATCAACATAGCGCTCAGTATCAACCTGGTGGCGATTTTCGTCGGCCTGGTCTTTGTCCAGTGCGATGTGGGCGCCATTGCCGGCGTGGAGGGTGGCAAGCTGAAGCAGCCCTATTGCTCCAGCCAGTGCCTGTGCACGCCCACCGCCTTCATGCCCGTCTGCCCGGAAAACAGTGCGGTCACCTACTTCTCGCCCTGCTACGCGGGTTGCACCAAGCAGACCACCATCAATAGCTTTCAGTTGTTCGAGGGCTGCAGCTGCAGCGGGGATCAGTCCTTGAACTCCACCGGTCAGATGAGGGCCACAGCGGGTGCGTGCAGCGCCGACAGCTGCCAGGGAGCCATTATCCTCTTCCAGATTATGAGCATTTCGGTGGCGTTTCTGATGGGCGTGGCAGCCATTGGCAAGACGTTGATCACCCTGCGGGCTGTCCTGCCACAGGACAAGTCCTTGGCCCTGGCCTTTGAACTAATGATCGTCGGCCTCTTCGCCTATGTTCCGGTGCATCTCAGCTACGACGTAGTCACCCGTAAGTGAAATTACTAAGCTGCAGTTAAGTGGAATCCAAAGTTCATAAACTTTCTCTGTTTAGGCACTACCTGCGTTTATTGGGCACCCAATTATGAGCGCTGTCTGCTGCGAGAAACGCCAAAGCATGGCAACATCCTGGATATCCTCACTGCCTCGTTGATCCTGGCCAGTGTGCTCTTCGACATATTCGTTTACATATTCGCCAAGGGACTCAATCTGTACAACTGCAAGGTGACGGATACCAACTACACACCCTCTCTGTATGCCCCCATTCCGCATGAGGATACGACTGCGTCGCACAGTGCTCCTCGTGGAGGAAGTCCAGTGACCACCACCACCACCTCCTCGCCGCTGCAACGCAGGGATGCCCATCCAGAGCCACGCACAGAGGCAGCGGTATTCCGGAATCCCAGTTCGGTGACTACTTCGTCGGGCGGAGCACAGAGCATTGTGGAGCCCAGTGAGAGTGGAGTCACCTATGCACAAGTGGTCTTTCCACCAGACAGACGCAAGCCAGCTGACGGTAGCACCAGTCCCAAGCGGTTGGCCGTCCCAGCAAACGTGCCATTGCATCTGCTCTCCGAGTCGGACGTTCGCGGCCAGTTGGGCAACCTGAACTCCTTCAATCCGCCCAAACAGGAGGCGGACATGGGTCAAGACACTGTAGACACCAACGATGTGGTGGTCACCCAACCGCAGGTCCAAGCTGTGCATCCCCAGTTGCAACGCCAGGTTGAAACGGAAGTTCCTCCGAGCACCGCAGACCTCCACCCGAACCACGACAGTCCGAGGCCACAAAGCCCAGAAACGGACTTCTGAGGGGCCACTCCAAAGTATTCTAATCTGTTTTTACTTCATTCTTACTCTTAAGATCGATCCAATGTGCCAGGACAATCATTTGAACAAATAAAGTTACTATTCATTTCATTCAAAAAGCAAATATCAGTTGTATCTATTAAAAAGAGCTCCCACTGTAGTTCCGATGATTAATATACCCATTCTGCTGGCTAAGTTCCTATGTTTTTGGTTACTAAACGCGAGGTGGACAAATGTCCCACAAACTGTGATTAAATCGTTCAAAATCGTGGAAGCTCTTAAAGCGAATTTAGCTTCCATTGGAGGCTACCAATTGGGTCCGATTCGGATCGAATGTCTATGACTATCAACTGCGAAATAGCCTAACTACAGGGATTCATTTAAATTGTCAAAATATGTCAATTTCCGCTATGAAAAAAAGGAGTGCATACTTTTTGGCGAAATTGTGGATCAAAGTGACTACGTTAAATTTTCGTTACGTTGAGTTTATGAATTAAGTAACTTAATTTTTTGTACTCTTTGCTTACATTTTTTAAGTACTTATATTTTCATTAGTTCCCAGAGGATTCAAGAGAAAGAAGTTATAATTAATAAACCATAAAAAGGCAAAATTTTATAATAATCATCAGATTCCATAAAAAATTGCTTTTAACAATCTTTTTAAGATCCTTTCAGCCACGTTTTGCATATATTTCCTCCATTTCCAAATTAGACAACGTTTTCGAAAAAGATTACGAGAGAAGATCGTTTTGGTTTTCAGTATAATTTTATTTTTTCCTTTATTTTAATATAGGTTGCTTGCAGTTATTTTGTTTAGATTTATTTTAATTGTTTTTGCGCTTACAAACTAATTAATAAATTAATAGTTAGCTTAAAAAGAGACTTAAGTCGTAAAACTCATAGGAGAAGAACTAAACATGAAACGCATGAAGATGGTTCTTTGAATTAAATACAAAAATCATAAAGGGAAATACTTTCAACAGAATTACTATGTGTTCGGGGGATGACATTGTCTGTCCGTCCGTCCGTCCGTCTATCTGATCTGTCCGTTCATTGGTGTTTGCCCTGTAGACAGCTAGTTTTCGGCACTTGAGTGGGAGTATTATTTTTGGTTTCTCTTCACATTTCAATCCGTTTCCATTTTGGATGATCATTTTCTTGTTTAATCCACGCTAGCCCTAGACAATTTGAGTCTCCGCAGGCTGCATTTTGTGTTCTCTGGGGCAGGATCCTATGTCCTGCCCCAAACGAGTGAGTGCACTTGGGCATTGCAAAACTTGGCGTCTACAGGGCGGCCAACTTCGGACTGGGGCAACTCCGGGAGGTGGGAGACCTCTTTGGAGCTTTGCCCCCTTTAGTTTTTCACACTTCCATCTCATGGCTGCAGCAGTTCAGCATCTTTTCGTGGTTTATCTTTTGGGTTTGTGGGTTTAGTCGGTCTGAGAGTGCGGGGTGTGAAACGAAAGAGATGATGTGTAGGGGAATCCTATAACAGATTTCGTATAAACATTAAGGACTTTTCAAACTAGGAGTAATGCAAAATTATCGACTAAATAATTATAACAAAATAGGACGAGTTTGTCTTACAATTTTAGCTTTTCATCTTGTTGATTTTGTGTGTTTTCATTTTCTTTGCAATGTATCTTCATCGTCGTGACTTTTGAAGTTTGTTCTCAATTTTAGTTATTAGTTTTACACAATATATACAGATATTTTTTGGGTTTTTCGTTTGCAGATAGTTTAAAAGTTTAACAAACAATTTTGATAAGCTTTTATTTTGTTTGGCTGTTGTTTCCTTTCTTTTTTTTTGTTGCTTGAATAGCTATACAATCTTTTAAATATAGCTTGAGAATATGCTAGAATTACTATAATTTACTACTTGTTTTGTTATCGCATTGTTTAATTTGAAACATATTCATATTTATGATGTAGTTAATATTTTCTCTTGTATTTTTACAATAAAAGTTGGAATTAAAGGTAAATTATAAAAATAGCAGCTGGCCTTTTCTTGTTTCACTAAATTGTATTTGTATTTATCGATCAATGTTGAATGTTTGGAAATTTGAATCCTACTTTCCTGTCCGTTGCTTCTCGGGTTTGCTTTTGTTTTTTTTTTACAATTTACATCTTATGTCTCTGACTGCACAATGCAAATTATCACATATTATTTCATTTAATTTCCCTTCTGTCCCTTTTCTTTTTCTGTGTTTTTCCCTGGCACTCTAGAACACTTTATCGATTTGTATTTGAATTTCTGCTGCTGTTTTTCTCCGTTGGCCAAAAATTTTACTTTCATCAAGTATTATTTTGCAGCCAGCTTGGTGAGTGGTTGTGTGGTGTGCTGGGTGTGTTTGTTTATGATTCTTATGCTTTTATTCGTAGCGTTAACAACGCGGAAACAAACGGGTAAACAAAAATAAAAAGTATTAAACAAAAAGTGGAGGCGCAGCAGCGCGATATTTAAAAGAGCTCCTATACTCGCTTCGAGTTAACAGCGGACGTTAACAGCGCCAGCCGCAGCCGCTGTTAGCGTGCAGTCTATCTGTGTGCTTGTGGATGTGTGTGTGTGTGTGTGGTTGTTTTTGTTTGTGTGTGTAAATGCGGGCGTGTGTGTGTGTGGTTGTGTGGTCTGCATGTGTGGGTGTTAAACAAATATCACAATCGAGAAATTAACAAAACGGCGGCTGCAGCAGATTAACAGCCAGCAACAACAGAACAGTCCTTAACCGGAGGTTAGTCTACCTAACACGCGCTTAACATGTTTTTTTGGTGAGTCTGCCGCCGCTGCTGTTGCTGTTCTTGTTGTTATTGGCCCAATACTTTCGCTGCTCTACTCGGCCCCGCCTCCTCCGGCTAAGAAAGAGACTGCGGCTGAGTTAACATTACGGTTGGTTTTCATTCTTAAAAACGTTCATTTTCCCCCCACACCGCGGTGGTGCGTGGGCGCCTTAAAAAAACAAACACTGTGTTTGGGGCCACAGCAGCAACAGCTTAGGACATGGGACCATTGGCTGTGACCACTGCTGCCGCCGCTGCTGATGTCACCTGCTGCACCTGCTGCTCCACCGATACCGCTGACTCGACTGCACTGCTGCCGTTCTCGGCGCTGCCGTTGGGAATGCTCGTGGGTACCGCCGCGGACGCTGGACTGGTGGCCACACCCGTTACCGCTACCGCTCCTCCAGCGGCCTGCTGCTGCTGAACTGCCTGACCCGCGGCAGCTGGAGCAACGGCACTCTGTACCGCCGGCGCCGCCTGAATGGCGGGCGTGGCCGGCGGGGCGGCGATCTGAAGCTGCATCTGCAGCTGCTGCAGTGTCTCCTGCGGGATGTTCGACTTGAGAATGTTGTTCTCGAGCTCCAGCTTGTTGATCTTGTCCATCAGCTCGGAGATGCGCTCCTTCAGCACTTCCACCTCCTCGCGCACCGCTATCATGAGATGCGACTTGACCAGATCCTGAAGGAATAGAAAGAGGACAACGGTTTCATGAGTATGGTGTGCAAAACAGGAGTTTGCTTAGAAAACTGAGAACATAATGCTGTTAAATGGGAACCATGTCGTCTTCATGGCTATATTTGTATATATCACTTATTTATATTGGATTTAACACGCTTTATGGGCTTCCGAGCTGGCAGTATCTGCGGTTTGCATCGCATTTATTGCACCCTTTGTAAAGTATCTCGTTGTGGCCAAGTACATTTACAATATTTACCCCACAGATTAACGGTGGCATAGTGCTGGCTTAGCTCAACTTACATCCTGTAGCCACTTTTAAGAGCGTTTGGGTCGGTCTGACTCATTGCTGCGATTCAAGAAAGACCCACAATTTGTGGGGCCATTCATAAATCACATTTGGTGCCAGCAACGTGGCGAATGTTTGCCCAATGTGGCGTGTTCGCGTTATACGAGTATATTTGCTTTATGTGCTGTGTAAATGCAAATGTAAATGCTCCGCCCAAGAATCAAATGCTTTCGTGTCATTGTCAATGCCACAGCCGCAGAACACGTCATCGAGACCGAGGAGACCGAGGAGACCGAAACAAAACCGAATCATCGGCACACAACATCCACGGCTCACCTAACTCACCTGGCTCACCTGGCTGCCCATGCAACTTGTGAAAATTTAATAAGCCCATTAAAGAGGCAGGCGGAAAACCGAAAGGAAAACGCGTGCAGACGAATAGAACAATCGTCGTTTTCCATGCATTTAACGGCACGTGTTTAGGTGATTTTTTCCCATGTTTAATGTGAAATGTCAACAGACCGAATGCTCGTGGATGAAATGGAAAAGTGGGCAGCAGGCTGCTGATTTTGTGGAGGAAAATGTTGCCTGCGGCAGTTCCGTTTCACGAAAGAGTTTTCTTTCTTTTTTTCTTTATCGACTCTTCACTGCGATCTCTATAAATAGTCACAGCTCGAATGCTTTCGTCGTCGTCTTCACTTTCAACAATTTCTTTCAACATTTTCTTGTTGCTGTGGCCTGGTTTTTTCAGGCAATGCAACAACTAAGAGTTGAAAGTAAAAAGTAAAAATCGCGCAAAGAAAAAGTCCACAAAATCAGCAAAAGGATATGAGTTTCGGAATACATTAAAAACGTATTAAGAAATCGTGCACGTCATTATGAGAAAATCGTTGGCAAAGCGATAAAAGTGTTTAAAAAATATCATATTAATTTAAGAACTCTGAACCGCACCGAACATTTCGTACGTCCTCTGCTCATTAGTCATTAGTCACACACCAAATTCTATACGATATAATATAAAGTATATCTATAGGAAAAGGCATGAGCATGAGGCATGGAAAGCCAACGAAAAGTCGCATATTCTGGCACCAGTGCCAAAAGCAATCGCAAGAGAAATCATATTTTGCACGTTTTTCGGCTGTTTCGAGGCAGGCCAATAAATAATGTTTATAAAAATACCATATTGTATTTTTAGATCGCTCGCTTGACCGATCAATAAGTGCAAAAATTACCAAAATTAGAAGTCAACGAGGGAAAAACGATTTGATAAAAGTCGACTCAAAAAAACCACATTGACAACCGCTTTAAACAAATGCAAACCGGTTGATACCGCCTCGACATGTTAACAATGAGGTGCAAAAATACATGCATATGTACATGTGCATATATAAGATATGTATATATAGCACATAAGGGAGTAAATTGCTCAGAAATCAAGGCAGGTGTGTCTAAGACTCGGCGTTTGCAGCATGCTATCAGCTTTTTGCACCATCTTGAGGGGTTTATGATAAATATCGAAGTAGATAAGCGTGCGACGGGTTATCTTGGGTTCAGGTAAGGGAAACTAAATGCTAATTATACACATTCGGGGAAAGATACACACACTCGGGCTGAGGAGAAGAGAGAGAGAGAGAGAGAGTGAGAGACACCTAGGCGGAAAAGCGGGCTGGGTTCTCCTGCTGGGGTCAGGTCACGCGCTTCTCCAGAGGTATCATCTCTGCTCTCCAAGTCTCCTGCAGTTCTCAGTTTTGGTTTTCTTGGTTTTTCGTTTTTTCGGTTTTCGCTTTTCGGTTGCATTGCTCAAACAAACATGGCGGACATGGCGCATTGAGGTTCTTTTTTCCCATTTTGTGCACTTGTCCGGAGATCCTTAGGTAGGAATTATAAGAGCCTTTGTTGCACAGAACAAAGGACTCGTCTCCCTCATTTTCGCTCAAAGCAAAGGAAGTGGTGTGTCTCATTTTTTGCACTTAGCGCAGAGTAATTTATCAGCGAAAATAAATTGACAAGTGACAGCCGCAAGTACGGTGGTTTTTTCGTTTTTTTTTTTTTTGTATTTTTATTTTCGGTTGCCTTTTTGACGACATTGAAAAGTCGCCAGAAAAAGTCGCGCAGCCTCACGAAATGCGAGGAAAAACGAAGGAAAATCGATAGAAGTGCATCTAGTCAAGGTAAATGGGGTTCTATTTTGTTCGAGAGGGGGGAATGGAGAGCGGGTAGGGGGTCTGGTCTTCTGCGAGGTATACATACTTTTGCATTGGGCACCATCACATAGCAGGGGCTGTCGTAGCCCTTCTGCCAAATCTCGTAGAGCCAATTCTCTGGCTGGCGCAGCGACATTGTGCCCATCATATTTGGCTTTGGGTTTATTGGTTTATTTGGATTTTCACTGGGTGGTGTGTATCAATAATTTTTGGTTTCTTTGGCGGAGACTTTTCACTCTTCCACTCTGCACTCTTGCACTTTTCAAGTATGTTTATGTATCAGTTTCAGTTGGATCACAGTTGGGTTTTATATTGTATTTTGTGTATTTTCACTTCTTTTCTTGCGCTTCTCCTCGGGGCAAAAGTTTAGCAATAACTGAGTTTGCTGTTCAGCTTTTTGTGAGATTTACGAGACCGGCGCAGAGCTTTTTTGATATTTTCGAGCTTTTCTCGATTGAATTTACTGCGATTTGAGTGTTTTGCGTCTGCTTGTAACGAATTAATATAATTCACGAGTCTCTGGTTGGCTTTTCTGAATTCTTTTTGGTTGGTATAAAAAATAATTGTTTTAGCAGTGTTTCTATTTTGTTGCTTTTGTTACATATATTAAAAGTGGTGCCAGCTATATTTGTTGGCGATGTGGCGTGTAGCAAGTTGTACTGGCGACTGAACGTCTGCGTGCAATTAGTGCGCATTTTATATGAAATGGCAGGCCTTTTGAGAGAGAGAGCGTGCTCTCTCATTGCGCAGTGCTCTCCAAGTCGCGCTCTCTGCGCCTCTCTTGTGTATCTGTAACTGGCCGCTCGACTATGGGTATATCCATCAGCTTTTGCCAGATAAAAAGGGTACTCAGATACTCTCTGTTTGTTTTGACGCGTGTTTTCTCATCAATTTACAAAGACTGCCACTATTTATTCAATACACATATATGTATGTATTCACGTATTTATTTGTCTTTGGTGCCGCTCATTTGCCAAAATGTTTGACTGAATTCCCAAACAGCCAGCCGGTTTTTTTGTTATTTAAGAAATAAATACATATGTTTTTTCCAGTCACTACGACGCAAAAACTTTATGACACTTTTGTTTATCTCTCGCTCGCCAGTTCTCCCGCTAGCTCTTTTATTTTCATATTTTTTTTGTATTTATTTTATTATTTTGTTGGACGTTCTTTTGGATACTTTTCCGCTTGCCACGCTCTGGTTTTCGATTACTTTGGCACTTCTCTGGGAATTATGTGTGTATGTGGATGTGGGGTGGGTTTTCTTACCTTTTGCGCATTGCGTTTTCCAACTAACCGAATTAAGCCGATTGGAGTCAACAGTAAACAAAATTCCTCGATAAAATGTAATACTTTTCAATATTACGAAGCACATTTGAAAGGATAGCCATTACATGCTTCCGTTTATAAAGTAAAATATTCGTATAAAGGTTCTGTTCCTTCCAATTATATTATATAACAAGAATACCCAATCTTTATAGATGTTTGATACCAAACAAATGTAGGGTATGTGGGCTAAAGTAATATGTCATTGAATAAAATATAATACACGGGATTTTTATCGTTGCTTATAATACCAATGACAATGACAAAATTGGAACAAAAATTCAAGGGCTTCGAAAGTAGAATAGAGTTGGCTGAAGAGCCCGCAGTACAAAATGTATAATATACTATATAAGCGAGCAGAACATGAACGGAACGTATCGATTTCACGCGCATGCTGAAGGAAGCATTTTCTGTCAATCCCCACATTCCATATAGATTTCAATCTATATAGGAATAGGAACGAACCAAATGCTTGACGCATCAACAACAAATTATTTAACAAAAACCGAAACAAACATCCGCGTTAAAAATTATAAAAGAAAAATAAAAGAAGACAATATTTTTAGTAGTCAGTCGCCGGCGGAGAAAACAGCAATTAAATGCACATTTAAATAAACAAATGGCATGCTGTAAAATAATAAGTCAACAATTGTAGGTGGGTAGGAAGAGAAGTTCCTTAATTGCTACACAAACTGCGTAGATGGGATAAAGTTGGGATCGTCATGGGTGGTGTCGTATTTGTCGGTTGGGGTTTTGAAGGGAGGTCTTGAAAGCTGAGAGTGCTGAGTAAAAGGGATGAGTGTTTTAGTTTTTTTTTTTAAGGAACTTAGGGGCTCTAATGGGCTTAATGGAGAACAACGATTCCGGATGCGAAATTGAAAAACCCAACACTTGTAATAGTACTGTACCGGCACAAGTATTTAAAAGTTTCATGTAAGAACCTCTACCTGCCCTACTAACTCAGTAAAATATACCAAAGTGGGCTATGTTATCAAGTCGTATTACGAACTTTAAGATAAGCAGGTGTTGCTTATCATTGAATGCGATAGATTACTCGATGCAAAGACGAGGAAGTCGGCAAGAAGAATCACCTATATTTGCAAACCATTTACAAATTTACAAAAGCCATTCAGAAAACTTTCCTCTACTGCTGGCTTATGTCAGTTCTAACAGCTTTTCTGATC